AAATTATTTTTCATGACTCATAACTCCATCATCCAGATCATAAAGAAGTAATCTTATCATTATATTTAGATATATATGAAAGTGAGTTATTTTAAGCCACATCTTGGAGCATCCTATGAAAGCCCAAGGACCAGGGAATGGAAGTCTTGTTGTGGCTTGGTGATATGATGTAGAAAGAGACAAGAGGGGATTAGAGGAAAATGAAAGATGGCCAGGGGAGAAGAACCTTACACACCAAACTGGCTTCCCTTCTCCCAGAGAGAAAGAAGCATACTTCACCATCCCCCACCACCTGCATGAGGTGAATAATAGTTGAGACCTGGGAGGACAGAATGCAGTGTATCCACCCCAAAGTCTCAAACCTCTTCTTCCTTTCCCTCATCTTCCCACAGATTAGCAAAGGCAGATTGCAGACTTCCTCTCACCAAACTCATGTAGAAAAGAAAAGCAGCATCCGTCCATCTCAGCCTCACTGGAACTGTCTTCTCCTCTGAAGCATACATCTCATCAAACATTCCTGTCACTTGCATTCCTCACCATACTCCCCTCTTCTTACCCTCTCATTAAGCTTCTTTGATTTCCTCCCTCCCTCCCTCCCTCCTGATTAGCACAACTGGTCCGATGCGTGATGGATTTGAGTGAGAGTTTCTTTAAGGAAGTCAGCAGCCTGTGCAGTGGTTTCCAAGGAACAACTGAGAGGTATAGTTTCTGACGACTGCTTTTCTTGAAGTAAGTGCTTTCTGATTGGAGGCTCTGCAGCAACATGGATTCCTCAAAGAGACCATTTGTTCCTCACACCATTGTTCTTTCGATTTGTTCAACCTGAAGGAACATAGTTGGTTTCCTGCATCTGTTTGATCTGAAAAGAGCAGCTTTGAAGTTCTTTTCCACTTGTATACTTGCTTTCTGCAATCAAACATGTGCTTGAGGTTGCATTTTGGCCTTTTGCTGGATCAAGATCAAAATTTCCATTATGCTGAAGCTTCTCGATTTGTTCCTGTTTCAGGAAACTAAACATCTGAGCCTATTGAGTTCTGTCAACCCGGAAAAATCTGTCTCAGACCACCGAGTTGTCTGCAATCCAAGTGAAGGCCATCACACCATCATATCTCATGAGAAGTGCCATAACTTGCGACCTCATCGTGCTTGTTGCGTTAACCTAAACGCACCATGAACCACTTGAGCTCAGAGTCAAGAACACGAAAGGATGAGATTTATAGTAAACCGAATCGAGCCGGTTCGACGGAAGGCAGAGGGAGGAGGACGAAGAGGCTGGTGAGCGCTTCGGACGCAGACGGCAGAAGGCACCCACCTCGAGAGCCAGAGCACAGAGGCTCCCCTACAAATTACTTCAGCACGGAGTCGTTTGTCGTGATGATCTGCTTGACCGTGTCTCTGCTGATACTGCCTCTCATACTGCCGCCACTGCCGCCGCCACCTTCGATGCTGCTTCTGCTTCCTATAGGCCTACTTGTTGTGCTGATGATCCTAGCTTTCATGCCCTCAGACATAAGAAACATTACTTCCTCTTCCTTGTAGAAATGTTGGGATTTGAGCTACGTCTTTTTCACTCTACTGATAGTTCTACAGAGGTGATTACTAGTTTATGATAGATTGGAACCGAAATGTGGTCACTCTGCTGTACATGAGGTATTTGTATCATATCACATCCACGGAAACTAATCCAAGAAAGGCAAAGAAGGATTTCTTAGTTATGGTTACAGAGACGATGAACATTTCTTTCTGCTTGACAAGCGTTACCGTAATCCAAATATGCAAGAGATCGATGATGAAGCCATATTGTTGGTCACAAGACATTCGATTTGGAAATGGTATCGGAGGCTCTATTTGTAGTGGGTGGACCAAACCATATGCAATTGAGGGGACTCTGTCTCGGTATTGTCTTGTTCATGGCAGAGGGGGGTAGTCTTTAGTCTTCTCCTGCTGCATGTACTGAGAAATCTGCGTTCTGGACACCACCGAACAGGAACTACTGTAAGGTCTGCAAGAACATCTTCAATCTACAGTCTTAGCTGCTCGTCAACCTACCACCAAAAACGACTTTGTTTGCAGGGGTTGCTGAAGGCATACTGAAGAGGGGCTGATGACGATGATGATGATGTTGGGATGTTGCATGATCCATGTAAACATGCAAACGAGCGCTACGTTAGAAGTAGAATGTCAACTTTCATGAGAAAGTGACTCAAAGCTGGTCAACGCAGACAACAATAATCATTGCATCTTTGTTGTTATTCTTGCACTGCATCCCACTCTTGTGACTCTCATCTCTTTGTCCTCTGCCCTCAACAAGCCTGGTGGAGCAGGAAAATGGTGTTGGGATAGGATGAGATCCAAGGCTTGTGGCAAGGTGTAAGTGAGGTTCTCTGATGAAGAGCTGACATTGAAATACACGAGTTCAACAACAAAAAGAATCATGTCGTCGATTTCAAATAATTAAATAACTAGTTATTATTGTATAATCGAATTAATATATTATTTTCTTTCCAAAATTATCGAATTTTATAGGTAGAAATTGAAAAAGACAAAAGAAAAAAAAGATGTGGATGGTTACGTAACACTAAGGTATGCAATACCGTACCGTAACTATAGCACTGCTACAGTGTAATACTATAGCACTGTAGCACGTTCCGTCCGGTATCGGACGATCCACGTACCGATATATCGTCGGACCGATATGTCTCGCCCGATGATACCATTCGGTATTGCATACCATGTGTAACACATCAAACTTTGATAATGAGTCAGCAGCAAGGGTTAAGTGGCTTCTTCAAAGTGGCTACCAAATGGAATTGGGCTAACCATTGAATCTATATAATCTATATATGAGAATAGCATATGTATGATTCTTACATATTTTGATGATAACATGTTTATACTTGTAAATTTTGTTATAGCATATAACATTCCTTGAAATATTGGCATGCATAGTATATAATATTAACAATAGCATCCATCCAGAAGTCATGTTGACAAATTCTTATCATGATGAGGATCGATTTATTTGATTTAAAGAAATGCATAGAAATACAAAATGATCATGAATCATAAATGATCTAAAAATGAAAATTAGATATTTAGTAGTTATCGGAGATTAATAATGTTAAAGATCACTTGCAAAATTAATCTCGAATGAAGGCAGGTGTATACTCCAATTTGAAAGCATCTTATTTCATCTTATAAATAACCAGGAAACTTCACAAACCACTATTAATTCTATTTCATAACAAATCACCTAACAGATGTGACTAAACCAATTACACACATTGATTCTAACACTAAATCTTTTATTCAATTCCCGCACCATTCTACCTATGCTGTGTCACATGTGATATATACGTACTTTTACTTGTTTTATTGGAGAAATCCTGCAGCTTTCATGCAGCATTGCACCTATCCATGTCTGCCATCTCTGGCACTACGGTCAATGTGACTAATTTGTTGTTTGCTCTCTTTACAAGCACTTTCAAGGGCTTCCCAACTTGATCCCTCATCGAATCTACAATCTGCAGAAGAAATAGAAATTGTTATTAGGTTATTTCAACTCTGCAGGTAAATGATATCAATATGGATTTAAATCATCAACATCTACATCCTTATGTATGTGCCATCAACTAAAATATCAAACGACAGATATCATGTTTCATAATGTATGCTGAATAAAATTTACAGGGAAATAAGATCCAATCATGAAGTACAGGGATTTCAGATGTTGATCAAAGCACATGATCTAAGTTGAGTGCTCAGTCTAATTTCTTATAGAATGAAAGCTAATTGCCTTCATACATGATTCAAGCTTGCAAATTGTTTATGGGTTGGTTTCTACTAAAATCTTAGTGGCAGTACCTCTTTAATTTCTCGAACTGGTTTGCCATCAAATTGGATGACTGTATCACCTGGTCGAAATCCTGCACGGTCAGCAGGGGATGCGGGAGTTACCTTGAAAACCTGACAATGTATCATTTATTAGATTCAAGCATGAAGATGAATTCCAATCTCTATAAGAAAAACTTTTGAGTTACCAAGAAATGAAACCCTGTCTGGACCACAGTTTATGAATGCCTTATCTAAGATTTTGTCATGCATATTTAAAAAAGAAAAATAAGAGTTGAACAGTTCTGATGATAAGAGACATGCTATACTAGGTACAGATCATGGAACATGTATAATCTTTGGTGGAATAGTAGGAAGCAAAATTTGTGTGGCATATCTCATGTATAATGATAGCAGCAATCAGCTCAAAAGGAGAGTCAACTGAAAAGGTATAATCATAATCCGTCTTCAGCTGACTTTTCACAATCAGCTAACATTTGTTGCTTTAGGACAATCTGTCCCCAGGACATATTATTGTGAAAAAATACAACCCATACATTTTTTTTCATTACCAACTATAACTCCACATGCTTGCAGGTAAAGTGGGAAAAAATGATAATGAATGAAAATTCATATTTAAACAATATCAATGCAGTATTCACTTTGGCTTAGTTGGGAAATTTATTAGAAAAAGGCCCTGGGTTTCTACAAATGATCTAGGTATCAAAAATTACTGAACAGTAATTGAATGTACCTCCAATTTTACCCTTTCTTGAGTAATAACCCAAAATTTCCATACTTCCTATCTTAAATCGATTTGTCCTATCAAAGCTGTGTCCGACCACTCAAAAAGTTAGGGAATAGATGTGATTTTTAAGGGGCGTCATTCGAAAGGAAAAAAATGAAACCATGGCATCTTTCTGGTCATTGGTCTATGATGAAAGTCAAAATTACCAAGGCATCTTTTTTCTGGCAAATCACCCAATTTTCTTAAAGCAAACCCCAATTTCAGATCCAGTTCTTTTTCCGTTATCTTCTGATACCTAACAAGCACTAAAGAGATATCCTGACTCAAAAAACATCTCCGCTTTCTAATAGCATACTGTCACTCTACAATACTTACCACTGGCACAATATCTGTCCTTACATCGGGACACGAAGCATCTTTGTCCTTACACTGTGCAATTTTCAATTCATTAAGATCGAGCATCTTCAGTCCAATCCATGGTTGAGCTACTTTTCTGTACAGACAACATAAAGTTAGTGAGTAGATGCAAAGGCTTAAATTTTATACAGAAATAATTCAGAATATATTGTGTTCTCGGGATAATAAGATAAGAAAAATGGCATCATAATTTGTAATGTCATTGTGAACAAAATGGTATACAAGTGATCAAGACACATAAATCAAAAGATAATCAAAACCAACAAACTTTGCTGCAAATATATGGCAAGATATAAGATAACTGCAAGCTGAATAAATTTCATAGATCTGGTGCTGGTACATTATCTACCATATCATCTTCTCGGTGTCATCCTTTTAGGTTTTTTCAAAACTGCAGACAACATGTCATGCCACAATATAAATGAGTCACGTGGCCAAGATAAAGTAGGCTAAATCAATATGTTCCAGCTTTGATAAGGATGTTCATTATAGGACGCCATTCAAAATTTAACAAAGAATGATTAAGCAAATCAATCAAAAAAGCCAAAGAGGAGTATAGCACATAAAATTAGAGAAAATAAGTCAAAACAGGCAGAACATACCCATTCTTCATGAATTGCTCCACTATTTTGACGACTGAGTCAACTGGCACTGCAAAACCCAATCCATCAGCTGCAACAAATTTCATGACATTAACACCCACAACCTCTCCATCAAGATTCACAAGGGGTCCTCCAGAATTTCCCTACAGAAAGCCACATAAGGAGATCATACATTATTTCACAAATCATGATAAAAAAGTTGGACCAGGTTGGACAATCAAATATGTTAGTGCAAACCCTTCATCCTTGCAAGTTGCAAAAACTGCAGTACAGATAATTAAAGAGTGAGCTATGATTTTGTTAATAAAATTAGACAATGATGAACTAAGAACTAGCTATCTAGTATATTAGTAGCAGCTAAACAAATCAATAGCCACTCTTAACGATCAGATAGAAATTATCCTCTTTTCCTTTTTAGGCAAAGATAGGCCAACGACAATCAGAATCTCATTAGTAAAGACTGTAAGGAATAATGAGATAACAGAAGTAGAAAAGAAATAAAAATAATTTAATTTCTTTTTAGGAAACTTCTCTCTCTAGGAAGGAGCTGCATTTAAGGTTTTCTCACTTTCTCTGATTGAAACAACCCCATACAAGATTCCATCCTTCCTTTCCTAAGAATTTAAAAAGCTACTAAATACTCTATCTGAGCTGATGCATCAACCTTCTTAAATTCAATCAGAAACTTCAAAAATGATCATCCAGGATCCAGATAATTTACAAGGCAATTCAGCAACACGTGATACAGGCAAGAGGTGGTACAGAAGGCAATTCAGCAAAACATGATAAATGGAGTCGCAAGAGTAAAACAGAAATTGCAAGTAGAATTATCCTTCAGCCAGAACTTTCTTTTAGATGCATCAAGAACAAAAGATTGATTGTTAATCCAAAAACTAAGATAGCAGAGATAACCTTAATGTATGTATTTATCCATCTCTAACTTGCTGAAAAAAAACTAGATAACTATTGAGGTTTCTACATATGCTGGGATGTATGTCAGATATTTTTTATCATGTCCAGGAAATGTTTAATTGTGTGTAGCAGAAATAATGATTTAGAAGGATCAAGAACAATCATGCCCATTGCCTTTTTTCTTAAAAAAATGTAAATTATGATGTCAACAGCTGCTCAATATTGCTTCAGACCCTCTCATAACCAAACAATATTGAGAGTTGAAGGTTCCAAAGTTATTAAAATCAACATTATAGATTTCTAGTAGCATTCATATAATAAAAACTGGGGACTTTGTGGAGCAAATATAATCTGGGCTAAAATTAGGGCAAAAAAATTCTAAAATTCTGTTTCAATACTACAATTTCAAATTACTGTCAGTTGTTTATCCTTCACAAACTTTCCAAATTCAGTTTGTATTTAAAAATTTTCATTAAATCTATCAACAAATACTTACATAATTGCTAAATGACCACCAAAAGTCAATGACAACAAATGCTAGCTGACATGGCTTTTAGAGACATCAAAGCTTCCGTTAAAATGATATTCTGAATAACAAAAGACTCCCATAGGTTAACTATCTCTTGAAGAACAAACTATATGAAAACATTTTATCTTTCACAATTGGCCCTAATTTACTTAATCCAACCTTACATTTCATACAGGATGTTCACAAAATATAGGATCCCAGCTCAAAAATAATTAGAAGAGACTGTATAAATAATTATGTTCTTCAACAATGCAAAACTGATATTTCATTCAACCAAGAAAATAAAGGTTCATGAGAAGGTAATGGAATGAACAACATGGCATAAATCTTATTAAACAATGTTAAAGTGAATGAACAGGTAGTCTCACCTTATTAATTGCACAATCTGTTTGCAAATATTCCCTTTGAACTCCTTTAAGACCCAAATCACTGCTTTTACGATCAACACAGCTACATAAAAAAGGAAAGGCGAAAAAGAATTCAGAGTAGAGAGAAACCAAAAAAAGGGTGTTCTTTGACAAAATAAATCTATAAAAGTAATCCCAAAATAAGGGAAAACCAAAAGGTTGTCTTAATTGACAGCATAAACCCATATTACTAAAATCAACATCGAAGCCACAAGCTTAAAATACAACATTGAAATAGAGTCAAAACAAGGAGAACAATTCCAAGTCAACTTACAACAATTTAAATAACATGCCTATTAAATTTTAAATATTTAATAGAAAATGAGAAAATTTTCTTACGATAAAATAGAAATTAGGAAATAAATATATGAATTCTATGTTAAAATACCTTATAATGCCAGATGTAATGGTATTTTTCAGAGCATGTGGGCAACCTAAAGCAATAACAAAGTCGCCTGGATGAAGCTTTGATGACATTCCAAGTTTTGCTGCTGGTAGTGGAATTTTTGATTGTATCTTCACAACAGCAATGTCTGAAACAAAATCAGCATTCACGACAGTGCCCTCAAATTCACGACCATCTTGTAAAGTAACACCAACCTATTTATTTTATTGAAAGGATAGTAAGTAACACCAGAGACAAGAAGGAAAATTATTTATTGAACTGATGACTGAAAAGATATCAGAATGACATTAAACAAATAAGTAGCCCTTTCTTTCTACGAAAGACAATATTTTTATACCAAAAAGAAAATCAAATATTAAATAGGTTTCATGAAATAAGGGTTAGTGTGGTCTGCGACCGACAGCTGCAAGGCTTTTGGTTTACAAATGACTCCATAAAAGCCAAACCTTATCCAGGTCCCAAATGACTGGGCCATGACATGGCCCAGGTTTGTTCTACAACTATGCTGATGCTGATTTTGTGAGGAAAAAAAATAATTTGTTTAAGCCCTCTTCCAACAATAAACTTGGATCATACAAGCCTAGCTCTTGTAAGTAGATTTTTATTTTTGAAGAAACTTCAAGCATTTAATTTTTCTAGGCCTTTTTCATGAGTATCTATCAATACAAAAAGACAAATTAATTATGCCCAAAGACATTTCAAAATTAGAAAACATCATAGACAATATTTGATTACCCAAAATATACATGCATAACAAAGTATAAGGATTAAAAAGCATAATTGAATAGTACATATTCACCACTACAAATAGAAGACACTACAAAAAAATCAAAGCATTGTTGGTTGAAATCATTAGTGGTTGAGTACTTAAGTTTCCTATTCACTAGAAATACCAAAATTTATTATAAAGTTGACAAACATAGATGAGAAAAGCACAGTAATTATGATAAAAGAATAATTTGAGCATATTTCAAACTAAGTTGGCATGATATGTCTATATCATTTAAATGATATCAATTTCATGAAGTTAAATAGAAAGTTCAACGTATAAATTTCCTCATCATGCATGATATAGTCAACAAGAAAACATAGTTAAACTATGTGCATATACAAAATCTACGAAGAATGAACTGCAATAGATGAGTAATAACCAGCAAGGACTAAAACGTCATGCTAAACAAAAGGCCTCAGACTTGTGTCCAACAAAATAATCCTAATTGCAACATCAAACTCTCAGCAATCGTGCAATCTAAATTACAATAATATGTGAACAATAATGCCTACTTTACTATTTCATCAAATTGATTATAGATCAGAGCTCCTTTTAAGTCCCACAAATTTCCATAGTTCATTTAAGGAGAAAAGTTCACAAAATATTGTCAGTCTGTGCACTACTTTGCCATTGCAGACCCTTTTCTTGCGATCAAGGTCCTCCACACAATGTGCACACGTCAAGATCGTCCCATCAGGATCAATTATAGTACCAGACCCAATACTCTTTGAAGACATCAGACCACCTGCAGAATCGTATTAAAAGAACTTATCATCCCATAGAAACCAAAAGTAGATCCTGTAGATCGACACAACCCGAAGCAAAAAAATCTCCTCACCTTTACGGACGGATATGTTCACCACGGCAGGGCTAGCTAATGCAGCCGCTTTAGCAATGAAGTTCGTTTCCGTGGATGTAGCGGAGCATGGCGCATCAGCGTGATTCTTCCCCAAAGCTTCCTCATTTGAATCCGAATCAGGGAAGGGGCTCGCGGCGGGAGATCGCCCTGGATAGAGACCTAGGTTTTGAGTCAAAAGGCTAGCCAAATCCAAAGCTACTAGCAAAAAATGAAGAAAAAGAAATCATAAAGCATTTCTTGAAACCGAAACCTCCGATCGAGAACAGAGATGGACGAGCGAAGTCTCGCAAGAAGATCTCCGATGTCGACGACAGAAGCTGCCGCAGAGGAACAGAGATCGAAACGCCTACATCTGTCGAAAGGGGGAGGGGAAACAAATGTGAGAAGCTACAAAATCGTCGAAATGAGCGAGAGGGGGGTTTACTCGTGCGATGGGAGGGGCCGTCCGAAGAGCCGCCGTAAAAGGCGGCGATGGCGAGGAGGCCGGTGGCCGCACTGCGGCGGGGGTTCGGCGAGAGGAGGCGACGGAACATGGCTTCCCGATGTCGAGCGATCGCACTCCGTCCCTCACCTCTCCACTCTCCCCTCTCCCCTCCCGCCCGCCTTGGCGGCCAACAGAAGATTTGGATTGCATTATAACGCATTTCTGTTTCTATTTACAAATATTTTTATTTTTAAATATAATTTTGTCTCCAAAATTAACTGTTTTTTTAAATAAAATATAAATTGAATTATACACTGTTGTGGTCAAACTTGAAATTCCAACCAAAATTATTATATATTATTTTTTAAGAAAATAAGAAATTAAATAATTATGATTAATCTAAGAGATTAATGAAGGTAACCTATTATACTTCAATAACAAAATGCCTTATACGTGTCCCACTAATTTAGGCATAGACAGAACATGCAACATAAAGATGATTTCTTGTTTCCTTTAAGGAGTTTTTAATATATTATATTTATATTTTGATTGAAAAACTGAAAAGTAGTTCAATATATCCGAAGATTTGGAGAGCTTTAGTTTAAATAATATATCCTTATAATATATACATTATGGTTAATCTCAACTAACATTGTTATACATTATTATACATTTGTCACCTTAAAAATTGAGAAATCAAATAAACAATGAAATTTTGGAAATTTATTAATTAACAATGATTAATCCAAGCTGTGTTATACCAAAATTATCTGTCTTATATGTGTGTCCCCATTCATTTCTTGTTTACTTATAAAAAAATTTAATATGTTCTATTTATGTTTATATAAAATATATATCTTCGATAAATAAAGCACTAGTCACATAATCCAAAATAATAAAGATGTTAACTAAACTATGTGATAAAGATTTTGATATCTTATCAAAAGGTCTTCAGTTTGAATCCTATATTCGTAATTTATTTTTTTAAAAAAATTAAAATATTTATTTTTCACATAATTAATAACAGATAAGAAAATATATTTTTATAATTAAAATATTATTGTATTTATTCCTTAGTTTAAGATATCAAAAACCTAGATTGACCACTGCAAAATACCAATCATATTTATGAGTAGGTAATTTAACTAAAAGGTAAAAAATTATAACATTTTTTTAAAAAAATATTATCATCATTATTTATATAGTCTTAAAGTGACAATTCAGCTATAATTAACT